AGTATATGTGAGGTATCCAAATCAAAAGAGCTAAAGAATTCTTTGATACCTCAAGCCATAGGTTTGACAGAGACTCCCAAATGTGACCAGTACCAGGGTAGTGCATGTGTAGTACACATAAAAATCCTTTGATGGTGTTTAAATTCTTCTCACACCTTTGTCAGTTCTTTTTTTGTTCAACTTTTCTCATTTTCCCAGTTGGAATGTGCATCTATTTTATGCTGGGATCATAGCTGATATAACTCTCCATTTAAAAACAGGCCAAGATCATTTCTGGCTTCCATACTGTTTTTTTTTTTTCCCAAACTTGAAACTTTTTATTTTTTGAGGGGTATAGCCAATTATCAATGTTGTGGTTGTTTCAGGTGAACAGTGAAGGGACTCGGCCATACATATACGTGTATCCATTCTCCCCCAGACCTCTCTCATTTAGGCTGGCACATAACATTGAGCAGAATTCCCTGTGCTATATAATAGGTCCTTATTGGCTATCCAATTTGAATATGGCAGCATGTACATGACCTTTCCAAACTCCTCACTGTCCTGTCCCCTTGGCAACCATAAGTTTGTTTTCTAAGTCTATAAGTCTCTGTTCTGTAAGTTCATTTGTATCATTTCTTTTTAGTTTCCACATTTAAGGGATTTCATACTGTATTTCTCCTTCTCTGTTGGCTTCCAGAACTTTTGAATTACCTTTTCTCCTACCTAAAATGCTGTTTCCCTGATTTCATCTGACTGGCTTCTGTCTTTCAGTTTCATATTCTTTTAAAATTTCAATCAAAAGACTATGTATTTTCTAAATTATTTTGCTTTCCAAGTATTTCCAAAATTATTTTACTCTGAAAGATGTAAATTTCATGACAGTAGTAACTCAAAAAATGTAATAGAGTCATCTTCTACATATTATGTCAGTTGATTTTTACACACACATAAACCTTTCCATGGCAGATAAATTGATAAATCAATAATTAAAATACATTTCTGTTTTATACAAAACATATCTGAAATACTTTTGCTACATTCCATATATTTTGGTATGCTGTGTTTTCGTTCTTCTTAAATTCTTTGCTAAGACATTTATTTCTTCTGAGACATTTATTATTTATGAGTGCATTATCTAATTTCTACATACTTGTGTGTTTCACAATATTTTAAAAATTTATACTAATATCATTACATTTTGCATAGAGAACATACTTTCAGTCACTTAAAATTTATTGTGATCTTTTCATGGCCTAACAAATGATCTACTCTGTAGAATGTTCCATATGCAATGAGAAACATATGTATTCGGATTTTGTTGGGTGCAGTGTTATGTAGATGCCTGTTAGTTTTAGTTTGCTTATATTTTTCAAATCTTCTCTTTCTTTGCTGATTTTATGCCTAATTGTTCTTTCCATTATTTTAAGTGGGGTATTGAAGTTTAACTATTACTGTGGAACTAACTATTTCTTCAATCACTTCTGTTAGTTTTTACTTTACATATTTTGTCAATCTGTTACTAGATACATATGTGTTTGTAACCATTACATCTTCTTGATGGATAGCATAAATTTATCACTATGAAAAGATTTTTTGACTGTGGTAAAAACTCTTGTCTTTATGTCTATATTCTGTTATTAGTATAATTAAATAGTGCTCTCTTTTCTCTTCATCTTATTAGCATTTTATTGAAGTATAGCTATTTTAGAATATTATAGATGTTTCAAGTATATAATATAGTGACTCTGTATTTTTATAGATTATCAGTTCGTCACTCAGTCGTGTTCGACTTCTTGTGACCCCATGGACTGCAGCACTCCAGGTCTCCCTGTCCATCACCAACTCTCAGAGTTTACTCTTACTCATGTCCATTGAGTCAGTGATGCCATCCAACCATCTTATCCTCTGTTGTCCTCTTCTCCTAATCTTTTCCAGCATCAGGGTCTTTTCCAATGAGTCAGTTATTTGCATCAGGTGGCCAAAGTATTGGAGTTTCAGCTTCAGCATCTGTCTTTCCAATTATTATACTCCATTAAAAACTATTACAAGAAAATGGCTATAGTTGACTGTGTTATACAGTATATCCTTGTTGCTTGTCTATTTTACACATAGTTTGTATCTATTAATCCCATACTAATCCCATACTTACTCCTATCTTGCCCCTCCTTTCCCTCTTTCCTTTGGGAATCTCTAGTTTGTTCTTTATATTTATGAGTTTGTTGTTACATACATTTGTTTTATTTTTTAGATTCCAATAGAAGTGATGATATGGAGCATTTGTATAAATACTTCAATATTTAAGAGATATATATATGTATATATGTATATATGTATATATATATCCTTTATCTTCTTTATGCTTTCAAGTGTTGATGAACAGTAAGGCTGCTCTCACATCTTGGCAAGAAGATGCTGGTATGAACATTGGACTGCATGTATCTTTTCAAATTAGTGGTTTTTTTTTTCTTCAGATGTATCCCCAGGAATGGAATTCCTAGATTGTATTATATGTTGTATTTTAGTTTTTTGAGAAACCTCCATAATGTTTTTCATAGTGACTGCACAAATTTACATTCCCATCAAGAGGAATTTTCTTTTCTCTACATCCTTGCCAACATTTGTTGTGCATACATTTTTTTGATGACAGCCATTCTGATGGGTGTGATGTGACATCTCCTGGTTTTGATTTACATTTCACTAATAATTTGTAATGTTGATCTTTAATGTGCTTGTTAGCCATCTATATGTCTTCTTTGGAAAAATGTCTATTCATGCCTTCTGCCCATTTTTTTGATTGCATTATTTGGTGTTTTTGAGTTGTATGAGCTATTTATATATTTTGGATATTAATCCCATACCAGTCATATCATTTGCAAATATTTTCTCCCACTTAGTAGGTCGTCTTTTGGTTATGAAAAGATTGTTTTCTTTGCTGTGAAAAAGCTTTTAACATTAATTAGGTCCAATTTGTTTGTTTGTTTGTTTTTGCTTTTTTTTTTCTTTTGCCTTAGCATACAGTTTTAAAAAAATATGGCTGTGATTTTACTGAAAGAGTGTTCTGCCTATGTTCTCTTCTAGAAGTTTTACGGTTTTTGGTTTTATGTTTAGGTCTTTAATCCATTTTGAGTATACTTTTGTATACTCAAAAATATACTCATTTTGAGTATACATTTGCACTTTGTATATGATGAGAGGAAATGTTCTAATCTTATGCTTTTACATGTAACTGCCCAGTTTTTTATATTTTTGAACTTATAAGACTTTACAAAATTGGTAAACCAAGCAAAAATGATCATGCTATACAAATTGTTTTTACTTGTTTTAATGTTTAATAATCATTTTTCTAGATTAATAAACATTTTGAATAATAATCTCTAATGCCTGCATATAATTCCTGCCTATTTCTATAGCATAATTGTTAGTTATTTTTTCGTGTTCACATTCTTTCCATTTTTTGTTAATTGCACACAGATATAAATAAAAACTACAATATAATATGTTTGGGTCTTCAATGAATTATATAGCTTTTGGTAAAATGTGTCCAGTAAAACAAATCTTGGTCATTTGTGAACATCACTATCATCCTCTACTCATAGCATTATCACATCTTTTTCTTTTTCAGCTTTATTGAGATAAAATGGAAAAAAATGTCAAGAGTTAAAACTTAAGGTGGATAATGTGATGATTTTATATATGTGTTCATTGTGAAACGATTGCAAAATCAAGTTAAATAACATCACCTCACATAGATATCTTTTGTGTATGTATGTGGTAGGAACACTTAGGTCTACTCTCTTAGCAAATTTTAAGTATACAATACAGTATTAAATACAGTCAGACTTCTATATATTTAGATCACTAAAATTTATTCATCCTATTTGTAAGTTGTCATAACAGCAGAGTTCTCCATTCCTGTCATGTTATCACTACTGTATGGGTAGTTGCTAAATCCTCATAGACCACAGCCCTTCCCCAAGGACTGGATGTTCAAATCCAAGGTAATTTCTTCTATAGATGCCTCAAGATACTAGATTTTGTTGTAACTATGTTCATTTCTCTTAAGAGCAAGTTTTGAATAATTTCCAAATATATGCTGCCAGGATTCATATGCACATTTGTACATGTTGTAAATTACATAAAATCATTAAAATTATTTATATTAATTATTTTAAGCTCAGTTTTCTTTTTCCATCCTTGAATTTAAATATGATTTATCTTTTCAAAAACATTTTTTCTATGGGAACTCTTGGTAAAAATTTCTCATGCTTTTCTTTTACTATTCTGCCACAATTACCTCTGAATTTTAAAATTTTGCTTTTTTGGAGCTTACACATTTTTATAGTATCCACAACTCAAAAAAGAATTATTCGACTACTTCATATACCAATAATTAAGGATGAAGAGTTTAAAACATTTTTATGGAAGAAAGTAATGAGCATCATAGAGTTATTAGGAAATGAAGAGTCATGTGGGACTGGAACATGTGGAAGCACTACCCCAGTGACCATGGCAGAAGTCATATGGACCTCTCAGAGGAGAGAAAATGCCTAAGAGCATGGAGTGAGAATTTCCTAGGCTTCTGAGATATAATCTGGTAATTTATACTTTAAGCCTGTACTTTAGCCTTGACTGAAATGTTTTAGAAAGCCAGTCTAGTATTAGATTCACTTATTAAAATTCTTTGGTAGCCATTTCCTTTCAGAATTGGGCAATCAGAACTTTTGCTATAAGAAGAGAACTATCTCCAAAATTAAAATCACTGTTACTAAAGAAGTTTCTTACAAAACACCTTGACAAGTACAGTTTCCTTCCTTCCTTTCTGTCTTCCTTCCTTCCTCCCCTCCAACCTCCTACACTCCCTCTCTCCTTCTCTCCCACTTTCTTTCTTTCTCTCCTTCCACCCTTCCTACCTCCTTCCATACTCTCTCTCTTTATCCCTACCTCTGTCTGTCTTTCTTTCCTTCCTCTGAGGTTGAGTGTGCATCTTTTTCAACGAAATTTGTGTGGTCCTTTGGTATCTACCCGTGAGTCAAAACATTTTTCTTGCCCAGAGTTTTCCGAAGAGCTGTCTTGACTTCCTTGTTCCGTAAGCTGTAGATGACAGGGTTGAGCATGGATGTCACCACAGTATAGAAGAGGGCCAGGAGTTTATCCACCCCGGGTGAATGGCTAGCCTTGGGCCTCAAGTAGGTGACAGATCCTGAGCCATAGAAGAGCGTTACTACCAGTAGGTGGGAAGAACAGGTGGAAAGAGCTTTTTGACGGCCTTCAGGGGAGGGCATGATCAGCACGGCAGCTAGAATTCTGCCATAAGAAGCAATGATTAATAAAAATGGACTGGAAATGCAAAGAATGGCTGCAACAAAGACTGCCGCCTCACTATGGGATGTATCCCCACAGGCTAGTGCCAGGATAGGCGGGAGATCACAGAAGAAGTGGTCTATTTCACAGGGGCCACAGAAGTCTAAAGAGAAAATATAGGTGGTTTGGCCCAAGCCTACTGTGCAACCCACTCCCCAAGAAACCATTGCTAAATGGCCACACTCCACGACTCATTCGTGTCGCATAGTGAAGTGGGGAGCATATGGCCATATAGCGATCAAAAGCCATGGCTGCCAAAAGACAGCACTCACTGATACCAAATAATGTAAAGAAAAACATCTGTGTAGCACATCCCTCCCGAGAGATTCCTCGGGCCTCACTCACAAGGCTCTGCAACATCTTGGGTATGGTAGAGCAAGTGTAGCTGATCTCCAAGAGAGACAAGTTGGCCAGGAAGAAGTACATGGGGGTATGGAGGACTGGATTGGTCCAGATGGCAAGAGCTATGAGAGCATTGCCTGTCAGTGATACTAAGAACATGAATAGGATGAGGGTAAATAAAAGGAAGCACTGTTCGGTGACCTCAGAGAATTTGGCAAATGCAAAGTGTTTCACCGACATGCTGTTGTCTTGCCACAAAGAACAATTGAAACTCATGACCTGAAGAAAAGAAAGCAAAGTCACCAGAAAGACTCTTTCAGATAGAAATATAAATCCTTATATTACTCTTAACAAGCTCTAGTGAGTCACAGAGATAAATTTCTTACCTATAGTAAACAGTTTGGGAGTTACACTCATCCTGAAACATAAATTGGAAAAAAAATTTTCAGTACAATTTTCTTTCACCCCTTCATTTTATCAAATAAATGTCTTATGATTTCTATTTCTTTCCTATTCTTTGGTTGCTTAGTTGCTTTCTTCAGTTGTTCACTCAACAAATATTTATTGAACATTGAGTATTTTCAGATTATTTTGCATTTACTATTGTAGTGGGATTAAACAGTGGGAAAAAAGGGTCAGAAACAAGTGGACTGATTCAAAATTCTGTTAAATATGGAGTAACAACTCTGCATGATTACAAGAACCCTTGATGGGTATGATTGTTGAACAATTTGCTCACACATAAAATATTATAATGCATTTACACTTGTTTTAAATAATTCACATATATTTACCTTGCATTGTATCTAATTAAATTAATTAATATAATTTAATATCTATATTTGGCATGTAGCAAAGAAATTCAGTTAAGGCTGTGGCAAGAAAAAGAGACAATTGTTTACTTATCTTTTTTTAAAACCCAAAACATTTTCTTTTTTTTTTTCATTTATTTTTATTAGTTGGAGGCTAATTATTTTACAATATTGTAGTGGTTTTTGTCATACATTGACATGAATCAGCCATGGATTTACATGTATTCCCCATCCTGATCCCCCCTCCTACCTCCCTCTCTACCCGATCCCCCTGGGTCTTCCCAGTGCACCACGCCCAAGCACTTGTCTCATGCATCCAGCCTGGGCTGGTGATCTGTTTCACTATAGATAATATACATGTTTCGATGCTGTTCTCTCGAAACATCCCACCTTCGCCTTCTCCCAGAGTCCAAAAATCTGTTTTGTACATCTGTGTCTCTTTTTCTGTTTTGCATATAGGGTTATCATTACCATCTTTCTAAATTCCATATATATGTGTTAGTATGCTGTAATGTTCTTTATCTTGACTTCTAAATAATAATCTTCACTTCTAAATAATAGCCTATGTTGTTGCATAAAAGCTCTGGATGTGGAGAAGTTGTCATCTCTTTTGTCAGTTAAACACACAATTTTTTTTAAAACTAATTCTATCCTCCTGTATTTGGGAAGAACTGCAGCTTTCTCAGTGACACTGATGGAGAACCAAGGGGGAAATTCTGACCAAAAAAGGAGAATACCTGTCTCTTTCCTAGGTAGTGATAATCGCAAAGATTTCATTTCATAAGTATCCTTATTCCATTTAGACTGTAGACAATAAATGCAAATGCCTGTGTTGGGGGTGAAAGTCGGGGGATGTGGGGAATGGGAGAAACCTAGTTGTGGATGGCACACAGGGAGGGTTGATTGCACAAAGGCTAATGCATGCTGTTATTCATTCTATATTCTTAAATGCACAGGACGAATAAAAAGTCATCCTGTGTTAAGTACTTTTTAAAAGCTCATGAAATTTATAGACTTTTGAAAAAATAAGTTGTCCAAAAGAGTGAAGTGAGTGCTTTGAAATATTTACACTGACAAGAATATTAATAAAACTATACCATGTAATATCTGGTTTCCTCATTGCACTTTCTATTGTTTTCAGGATTTGCTCTGTTGACCTTTGTGCAGGGATCTTGAAATCCATGTAGTAGAGGTCAGCTTTATGTTCATAGCAAGAATGTTTAATTTTAATCATTGTCTACAGAAAGAGAGCAAGGTGCTCAAGGACAGGTGTCAGGAGTCTGCAGAAAGGACCATCACAGGCAGTATAACAGTTTGATACAGACATTTTTCTGTCTCTCACCTGATACATTTTCTTGACCTAAAGCCTCTGATTAATCATTTCTGTATTAAGTAAGGATGATGAAGCCTTTCCAGTCTTGCTTACTGAGTTGTTTTGAGTTAAAATGGAAACATTACAGAGGGAAACCATGAATGAAAAATAAGGAATTAAAATTCACTTTTATCATCATCTAAACTCAACTCATATGGCCTGCAGTATTCCCTATTATTACCAGATTATTAAAATAACTACATTCAGTCAGCCATCAAGCAAATATGCACTGTGATATTAATATAAAGACATAAGAGCTTCATGCCCTATTTTAAATTGTATTTGCCTATTCCTACTCAATGTGATAAAAGATTATGTGGCCATTGGACATTGACATGTGTGTGAAGGTTTGAATCTTGGGATGAAGTTTCAGTGACAGAGGAAGGAGACAAGATACTTTTAATAACTCAGTGGCTTGGGATCATGTACCACCTTGCTGCTGCTGCTGCTGCTAAGTCGCTTCAGTCGTGTCCGACTCTGTGTGACCCCACAGACGGCAGCCCACCAGGCTCCCGCGTCCCTGGGATTCTCCAGGCAAGAACACTGGAGTGGGTTGCCATGTCCTTCTCCAATGTATGAAAGTGAAAAGTGAAAGTGAAGTCGCTCAGTCGTGTCTGACTCTTAGCGACCCCATGGACTGCAGCCTACCAGGCTCCTCCGTCCATGGGATTTTCCAAGCAAGAGTACTGGAGTGGGTTGCCATTGCTTTCTCCGATGTACCACCTTACCCAGCTTCAAAGTCCAAGACAAGTACATTCTATATAGTTCTGCTTTGGAAATAATCCAGCAGAAGTGATTCATTTTTGGTCAGCACCACATAATTAGAAATGCTTCTTAACTGACTCAATCCCTGATTAATCTTGGTTTTCATAATGAAATATTTCATTCCTATTAGTCAAAGGAAAACGTCTGGGACATTATCAGATATTTTTACCTGAAACAGTACAGTGCCTGGCATACAAAAAAACCTCAGTAAACCTTTGTTATTTTGAAATCGCCATTCAAAATGCTTGAATAGTAGATACAATTTATATAAATTGGTCATTAGTTTGTAGAGAAGATTTCCCATTGCTTTCCACAATTCACCCATAGCCTTTTCATCAAGCACCTGATATTTAGGTGAGTGATGCCTTAACATGCCTCAGCAGAAACTATGTTATCATTTGTTTGGAGTAACATTTATAGGATAATCTAGGCATTTGCATTACCCAACAATAAGAGATATGCCTATTTCCTGAGAAATAATTATTTTAGAACAACTTATAACAATTTTATGACAGTGATACTGTCAAACTGAGTAAATCCTTATACTCTTCAGATAAGGAGAAGAAAAGAACTGATTAAAATAATCTCCAGAACTGAATAATGCTTTTGGTATTGCCTATCCATATGCACATTTTAATCCACTGTTTTCTACAACCATTTTTTCTTTTAAGGCATAAGTTATATCACATACCTTTAATCCTAAATTTGAATAAAAAAGTAGATAGTATTTTCTTTTGATGAGCCACTCCCAATTTTTGTCTAAACACTCTCTGTATAACCTCCCAAAATTCAGAGGATGTATAACTGCCTAATCCTCTTTTCTAAGACCATGGACTGGGAAGATTTTGCTGTAATCAGGGCCACGTCTGATCCCAGGATGATTGTCTTCTCAGAGAGCACTATGTCCCTCCTAGCCATGCTCTCAACTACACACACACACACATGTGTGGGTGCATGAAGGGCTGTGCTGATTACATGATGATACATTTGAACTTTTCTCTCCATGAAAAAAAAAAGGTATATGAATATGTTACACTTCATTACTTCTCCCTGCTCTGAATCCTTATCCTGTCTCTCTTGCCCAGGAGACATATTCTCAGAAGTATGTCAGGAAGTAGTCTGATTTTCTCTCTCAGGGATTGCCATGGACACATCTGCCTCCATTTGTTGGTGAATATGAACATTTAGGAAGCAAAATAAATAAATATAAGAGGTAATGTAGGGACTTTCATAGTGGTACAGTGTTTAAGTTTCTGCACTTCCAGTGTAAGGAGTATGGGTTCAATCCTTGGTCGGTAAACTAAGATCCACATGCCTCATAATATGGCAAAAAAAAGGTAAAAGGTAAAACAAAAGTAAAAGTACATCAACAGTAAAATATAATGAATAGCCTATATTATATGTAACTGCTATCATAGAGTGCATACACAATGTGATATTAATTCTGAGGAAATGTACTACTGGAATCAAGTATTTATATGACCACTCTATGCTATTAATATTACTATGAAATTCTCAGATTTAAAATTTTTGTTTGAATTAAACTAAGTAGTCATCCAAAAATAATTATGAAAACAACAAATAACTTCCATATCATATTATATCAATGCAGTTAGTATTTATTCTGATTATTATAAAACATTCTAATAAATCTAATAATCTTCCAGATACACAGGAATTGATAAAAGCATCTATTTTTTTCTGTCAAAAGTAATAAAAAACCTCAGTAGTCAAAGATATATTAAGATGATGAAAAAAGTAGATGATACTTAATACTTATTGTTTAAATGGTTTAAAAAGTGGATAAGGTAATGAATACCTATCATTGACATGATCTAAATGGAAATGAGAAAGATTAGG